TCGATGGTTAGAGACCTTGAAAGACATGGCTCAAAATCGTGTGCAATGGCGCCGGTGCATTTATTCTGTGTGTTCTCTCAAATCCTAATCTTCTAGATTCTTCAACCCCTCTAGTTTTGTCTTTGTAAACTTATCTCACTGAATCATACTTCTTGAATAATATCTTCTAATGTTAACCTCTCGGATTACTTCTAATACCTTTACTACCTCTTCTACTATTATGGGATTTGAATTGACAATTACATCTCCGTGCTAATGTGGTATGTCAACCTGAACTGATGTACTTGCGTACGAAGTTCTACATTGCATGTGACTGACTGACTGATATATGTGTGTAACAACGCTATAACCAATATTCATCATATCTGTTAGTGAAATTCAATTAGGTTTAATGATGATAAAACTATAACAACGTTTTGCGCGAGTCAGTTGTTGAATAAAATAATAGACGGTTAGGACTTTTTTATTATTTTTTTTATGAATGTTGTATTGAGCTTTTCATATGATATGATATTATATCATATTGATATATGTATATACACACGTGTCTACTATAATATATATGTATATATACTATAGCAAAATAATTAATTTCAACTTATTGATTGCATAATGTTTTCGTCATTTCAAGTCTTTTCTTTTCTTTCATTCTTTTTTTCAATAAATATATAAATAAATAATAGTAGTAGTAGTAGTAGTAGTGATGGTAGGTAGTGGTGGTAGTAGGACACATGATTTTTATTTTGGTCATTTCGACCTTACTTTGGGATAGGATTGATTGTGTTAGCAAAATTGTTAGTCAGTTAGTTAGTTAGTTAGTTAGTTAGTTGGTTAATTGTTGTGTGTATTGAACTTTTCATCGACCTGTATATATACATATATATTCGATCTATAATACATACATAGTTTTTGGATAATACAATTCAAATCAATTGTATAAGAGTTAGTTAAATTATTCATTGAAATGATTTTACAATGCTGTGTTGTTGTTTTAAACTACTACTAAAATGTAGAAAGAATAATTTTAAGCGCTTTTTTATTCTGTTGTAGCATTGTAGCATTTTTTTCTCTCTCACACATAAACACACACACACACACACTAATTTCAGCTGAATTTCTCCGAAATTTCTGTTTTGGAGATGATGACAGTGAAATAAGTAGTAGTAAAACAACACTCATCGTGATATGTTTATTTGGGTGAATTTATGAGTATACATCCCATTGTCGGTAGCCTAAATGCTTGCCACGATATTTGAAAGGTTTCTGTTGTAAAAATTGATGACGACGATCTTGAGTGATCATCGACTAACGAAATCAGGAAACACTACATCTTACTTACTTACTTACTTACTCCTGTTACCCCCAATTGAGCATAGGCTGCCCACCAGTTTTCTCCAACCAACTCTGTCCTGGGCTTCCCTCTCCAGTTCTGTCCAATGTTTGCTTATTCCTCTCATATCTTTCTCTATTTCTCGGCGTAATGTGTTCATTGGCCTTCTTATTTTCCTTTTGCCTTGAGGTCTCCATGTGAGGGCTTGTCTCGTGATGCAGTTAGGTGCTTTTCGTAGTGTGTGTCCTATTCACTCCCAGCGCTCCTTCCTGATTTGCTCCTCTACTGGAATCTGGTTTGTTCTCTCCCACAGTTAGTTGTTGCTGATGGTGTCTGGCCAACGAATCCGAAGTATTTTGCGTAGACAGCTGTTAATAAACACTTGTATCTTGTGGATGATGGCTTTGGTAGTTCTCCATGTTTCCGCTCCATACAGTAGAACTGTCTTGACATTTGTATTGAAGATCCTGATTTTGATTTTGGTTGAAAGTTGTTTGGAGTCCAGATATTTTTCAACTGTAGAAATGCAGCCCTCGCTTTGCCGATCCGCGCCCTCACATCTGCATCGGATCCACCTTTCCCGTCGGCGATGCTGCCAAACACTACATCTAAAAGCCATAAATTATCAATAGCTTTGATCAGAACAGTTAGCTGTCACGTTGTCAAATTATTCCTTGTAGTGGGAAGAAAAGTTAGGTTCACTGAAAAAAAAGTCGAATTAGTGTGTTGTTATGAGTTAGGATTATCATTCACTCCGAGCTTTTGTTACCGACTGAGACCAGCTATCACACACTAAAAAGTTTGGGTTAGATGTTCAAAGTCAAGCTGGAATTTGCTTTTTCTTACTATTCGGGATTATGGTTTTAACGAAGAGTTGACATCAGCTATGATTCGACATTCATATTCTACTGTTTACAAACAAGAGATACTTATAGTTGAGATTTATTGTAAAATTGTAACCAATTGGATCTCGTGTGCTGTTACGGTTGTGAGCGCGGATGTCACTTCCCGGTTGCCTACACTGAGGAAGGGTGTTTCTTGAGTAACCTGAAAAAGAAACCGGATTAGCGTCATTCTGAGCGACCTGAACGCAGAGCTCAAGGGACAACTGCTTCCGGTTGTTCGCGCACCGATTTTCTATGAGAAGTTCTAGAGTGTTAGCTCCGCTCTTTTTAAAAGGCCTTACCACTGGAGACGGGAATCCGTGAATGTGAGGTGTGACATTTTTAGGGTCAACCTTTCCTAACGTCTTCGTTCCTTATGAAGAAGGCAGCATCGCTACAGATGCTGGTTGTCCGAGGCAAACACCTTACTGCTGTCACACCTCTCTACAGTCAGCAGTACTACATCACCGTCAGATCTTGAGTTGCTGCTATTAGTCTCACTGTTTCCCAATCGACCTGCCTGACATGGTAGAACCTACAGGAACGTATGTTTCAGCCAATATAGCTCGGTTGGATCATCGCTATAGGCAAGTCCCACCACCGCGTCAAGCTTAGCATCTACGGTTGGGTGCTAATGTGATATGGCAACATGAACTTATGTACGTATGTGCGAAGTTCCACGTTGTAACTGACTGACTGATTGATTGACTTTATTTTAACATTTAGAAAGAAATTATTTATCGATCTTCACTAAAACAGTTTTAACAACGAACTGAATGATGAAAAAAATACTTGATCATGTGGGATTTGTTTTCAGAACAGTCGTGTTTTATGATTCGGCTGGAAACATCATCTTCAATTCACTTTTCGGTTTCATCATAAAAGTTTCTATTGATTTCATGCATATTAAACACCATATATTGTTAAATTCAATTTCGCTAATAATAGCATATATTTTACGGAAAAATTTAACTAAATTCACTCATTAGATTTTATGGGTATGAGCCATACTTTAGATGTGTGCGCTAATGCTACTACTGAGTTACTTACACCGAAGTTGGTTCTGTAATGTTCTAATCTGGGACTTGGCGACTGAACAAAGAATACCTTAGCCACCTTAAACAAGTTTTATAAATTGAGTACTTGAAAACCATGTAGGGGTTAAACAACTAACTGTTCAGTGCCCTCCTTGATTTCCAATAATCCTCTAGTTGATATTATTTGGTAATAGCGAATAGCGATCGTCAATGTGTGTTCCTTTTACTTTTTAAAAATCATAAAATTTGTTTGTATGATTCATACTTATTTATGCCCATCACCCTTAATGGAACATAGGCCGCCGTTTAATATTGAACAACCTACTTTCCCCTGGGCCAAATTTTCAGTTCTTCTCAAGCACTATTCATTCTTTTCATGTCTGCTTCCAATTTTTGGCACCATTTATTCTTTCGTCTTTCTCTCTTCCCTTAACCCTTGGGTTTCTCAATAAGGGTGCTTGCCTTGTGATGCAGTTGGGTTCTTTCCTAAGTATATGTGTCCAGTCCACCTCCAGTGTGTTAGGATATTCATCCAATATCCTAAGAGAATTATTGCTCAAATCCTATTGGTCGATTTCTATTGGTCAAAATTATGGTCGTTTTAACTGTCAAAGTCAAATACTTCAATGTTGTCTCTTATTGGTTGTCCTGATTATCAGTGTCACTTCAAATGTTACTTCCTATTGGTGGTCTTAACTGTCAATGCCACAGAATTCGATGCTGTTTGCTATTCGACCAAATGTATAAATACGCATTATCTGTAACATTTTTTGACTACGACCAGGACCCGGTCCCGGATCCCTAGTCCGGGATTCTGATTCTCTCCTGGGTTCGGACCTCGTACTTTCTGGATGCTTGTAGAATACAGGTTCTGCTTCATATCACGTCTTATTATTTTCACTGAATATGGGGTTTTGGATAATCAGATTTGAGTAGCATGTCGTGTCGCCGGATCCTCTCTCTCGTTTTCCGACTAGGTAAACTCGTAATAGTTCAAGCATATCAAGTTGACGTGTTTACGTGCAGGCGTAACAAGTGCCTTTACTAATTTCTTCCCC